GGACATTAATACAAATCAACAAACATGCGCAAACACACTCGCTCAAATGGACATGCACAAACGTACATGAAAAAAAATACGCGCAAAATTACATTCGCAAAAACGTTCTTAAAGACAAGAAATACAACACTAGGACTTTAATACGCATAACCAAACAATAGCAAAAACAGTAAATACAAAAGATACAGTGGCGTGTAGAAATAACACTCAACGTTTACGTTTACGTGGATTTTTTTATGGATTAATTTATATTTTTGTTTTCATTGGTGGATTTAGTATCTTATAGGTAAAAGTTGATAATTAGGTGTCCATGAAAGCACAAATGATCAAAGAGTAAGAAAACAAATGCAATTAGGAAAATAAAATCAAATTCAGAAGAGAGGATCCCTCACATCTTCGGTAGTGTCCACGTAGTCGAGCATACACTTTCTCATCCGGACTCCAAATCAACTGGTTCCGGCGGCATTAGAAAGCTATTTTAGCTGGCTACAATTCCTGTCTAATGTCAAATTTCCAAATTCGGACTCGAACATGGTCAAAATTGGATTCCATAAGCGATCATGAAAATACGTGCTACAGTTCGAGGACACGAATGCACATCAAGAAACGTGCACAAAAACACTCGCTACAAAATATACGCACATAAGTAAAAGTACAAAAGCATGCACAAAAGTACTCACGCAAAAGTGCATTCGCAAAAACGATCATGAAAACACAAACTACAATCCTAGGACATTAATACAAATCAACAAACATGCGCAAACACACTCGCTCAAATGGACATGCACAAACGTACATGAAAAAAAATACGCGCAAAATTACATTCGCAACAACGTTCTTAAAAACAAGAAATACAACACTAGGACTTTAATACGCATAACCAAACAATAGCAAAAACAGTAAATACAAAAGATACAGTGGCGTGTAGAAATAACACTCAACGTTTACGTTTACGTGGATTTTTTTATGGATTAATTTATATTTTTGTTTTCATTGGTGGATTTAGTATCTTATAGGTAAAAATTGATAATTAGGTGTCCATGAAGCAAAAATGATCAAAGAGTAAGAAAACAAATGCAATTAGGAAAATAAAATCAAATTAGAAGAGAGGATCCCTCAACATCTTCGGTAGTGTCCACGTAGTCGAGCATAACTTTCTCATCC